TGTACATTTACAGCCGCATTTCGTTGAAGGTGCCAGCTACACAATCTATGCCTCGCCTCTGGAAGAACATTCTCTATGGCTAGTCTCATAGCATTATCCCCATCAGTGATAACTGAAATAGGTTTTTTACCTCCCATTGCAGCTACAAAGGTCTCTAAGACCCAAACGTATGACTCTTCAGTTTCATCTGACAAGAGTGCAGCCCCAAAAATTGTAGTCATGTAATGGTTATTTACACCAGCTAATATGACCAGAGGTTTCCGATAAGCATTAGTCCTGGAGGTCGTATCAAACACCAACACGTCTCCAAAATATTGGTAATCTGACTGGCACCTAGATTCAGCCCATAACAACCGACGTAATCTATTGCTTTCGTCGACATCAAACTTGAAGAAAAATGATGGATCCGCATCTTTTTTTGCACTGAAATAGGCCAAAGCACATTCCGCATCCCCGTCTCGTATTTCTGCTCTTCGTTTTGCATAAATACAGTTATACAAATCTTTCAAGGTAAAGCCAATTTTGTGGAATCCACCCGATCGATGTGCAAAAAAATTCATTATCTCACTCGTACGCCAACCGACTTCAAGCATGGAAATGGCTTCTACAAGGTCGAACTCCTTCACCGATCGATGGGAGAACAAAAACGATACGCCCTCCTCAGTCATGAGTTCATGGTTGTGTTTCTTTACAAATTCAGTGACAACAAACTTCTTCAGCCTCTTGTTGTACTTGACACGAAATGATGCTGGGCAACCAACTCTAGTCATGGGCATGGGCTCTCTTGTTTTATCTTTCTTTTCTAGCCACTTTTTATCACGGAACCCTTCCTTAGAACAAACCCATTTACGCATGTCAATCATACCCGAGCTTTTGTTGCGCCGTACATCTTCCTTTCTGATTGAAAATCCTTTACATTTTGCATAAAAGTTATAAAATTCCCCAGCTTCCTCCTCAGATTCAAACATTTTTTCTTTTATATGATCTCCATCTACGTCAATATCATCAATCCATTCTGACTTATACCGAAATTGTTGTTTTTCTTTCGGTGGTATTCCGGAAGTATCAACATTGTCCATCTTCCTTTTCTGAACATTACAAAAGAAAGGCCATTAAACATAAAACTTCAAAATTTAGTTTAAGCAAATATAATTTCTAAGACGAATTAAATTTATCTTAAACTGTCATATGAGGATAAAAATTCAAGGAAAATAAACAAAAATAAAAGCCCGTATATATTTTATAGATTACACCATAAATCATTTTTTACTTCACGTTGAAGTATTCATTTTGATTCTGAAAAAGATATTGTTCTCATACGATCCAGCATGATTTGTACTCGATATTAAATTTTGTAATATAGTTCCCCTTGCAAGCTACAAGTCATAAGAATCTTTTGATTCAACTATTTCAAAAACATCCCATAAAAAGAAACTTACAATTCAAAGGCTGAAATTTGAAAAAAGAAAAAAACAGAGAATAAAGAAAAATCAAGGATAGTCCCAAGAACACAGCTGATTACTCATCTCTTTAAACCTATTCCCTTGCCTCTTTGTAGAAGATGAAGAAGTGTACCTTTCTCCAATGGATTAACGTACAATGAACAGTTGCTGATTAATGACTCGACAATTTTCTCCGATGGAAAACTTCTTTGAAGAACGAAGAAGATGAGCGAGTGGGAAATTTTTTTGAACGAGCGGTCTGACGTGTGAGTGATGCGGCAGTTGCTTTCTTTCATTCTTCAATTTTTCACTCCACGTTTGTGGAGACTGGAGAGTTACATTTTTCCTTTTTCTTTTTTTTTTTTCCTATTAATTTATTGTGTGGAGTTTATATGTTATTTAATTCCAAATTTATATGAATTTATTAAATAATTTAAATTTCATTATACTAATTATTTGATCCATGAATTCACTTCAATTTTATACTTATAGAGCTAATAATGATTGTTGATTATTGACTATCTAATTTCGTACAAGATAGGTATTATTTTATTTTAAATTTTAAATAATAAGTTAATGTGCATTTAAATTTCAATATTATATAATAGATAAAAAATATGTGTATAGTATTTATATTCATTTTTTGGCGAACAATTTTTGGTCGAGAATTCAAACACTATAAAAACTAGGGAAAATTCTACAGTCCCGTTACGGAACCATTCCGTTGGATATTTAACCGTTAGATGCACATGTAGGGATTTTTAACCGTTAGATGCACATATAGATTAGTGCAGCATGTGCATCTAACGGTTAAAAATTCCAACAGAATGGTTCCGTAATGAGACTGTAGCCTTATTCAAAAACTAGATATATGATCTTATCGAAAGAATTTTTTTGCAGCAATAATCTTAACCTTGTATACATATATTCAGTAATGAATATGGTAAGTTTTAAATTATATTTACTCATCAAATCGTAAATCAAAACTATGGGTGAGCATGGGAATTCAAAATCATCCTCAATATCAAACCGAAATCGCTCTGAACCAACAAATAACCGTTGGTCGTTTGAGTTTCTCTGAACCGAACCGTACCGAAAAAATGATTGGTACGTACAGTTCTGAAGATTACACAAATTTGTACCGAAGACCGAATCGAACCATCTCATATCGTACTGAACCAAAGAACCTGAATTGAGAACCTAATTACAACGTTAGATGTATGTTGTCCATATATTTTATGTCAACTTTAATCCTATATAATTTGTGCATTTTTAAAATACTAAATAACATATAATATGGTAACGTCGAACACTCCGACCGGCTGAAAATTGATTCGCCTCTTTCCTCCTCGCCGGCGTTATCAACATAGACTAATCCAGTCGCGCCATGTGTTCTTCCGCATATGGGGTAAAGATTCCTCTGAAATCTCCTCGAAGGCCCTTGTACATCGACTATATCTAGGTCGATACTTGGACTTCTCTCAGTCTATGAAGTGATCGATCAGATGACCATTTTGCTCGATAGGTCGATCTTCGACTAGATCCTCCATGGACCTGTTACCGGCCTATTCCCCTCGTACTGGAGTTTATACATTATTTCTCAATTTTCACAAAATTATAACGTAACAAACATAGGGTGCATAGGATAACAAAATATATTAAGATACAACTAAAAATGTAATAATTAAAATTTTTATTTTACAAATACAACATTAACATTTTAATAATATTTTTATTTGTTTCACTGTGATTCATGTAATTTATAGCAAATATTTAAAACTTACTTTTATATTTTGACTTCAATTCACATGTTCCTACCTATATGTGTTATTCAAGTGGAGTTTCGAACGTGTGGTTTTGCTCATTTGATACACAAATGAAAATCTGAGGTCGTCTTCCGCTCGTACAATTCGGTTAGGCTCGTTTAATGAACTTTAAAATCTAAACTAAAATCCAAAATTATATATGAATTGGTGTACTCAACTATTTTGATAAAAATTGGGTTAGTTATTCGACTAGGCTTGTTTATGCATACAATTGTATTATACTAGATATATAAAGAAAAAACAAAATCTGGCTACGACGTTGTGCTACTGGATGTGGGTGTGCTATGCGAGATTTATTAATGTACATTTAAAATACATAAATTATGTTGGTAGACTGCCTAATGGGAGGCTTACTATCTTTTGAAAAAGGCATATTTATACCATTGAATGATATAGTTTTATTTAAATTATATTTTAATGTATGATATTTGAGTTTTAAAACATCTGCATTTGTTTGTCAAAGTGCATTTAAAAGTTTGTATAATTTTGGAATCCGTCATCATTCATTAACTAATAAACTAATTGATATATATGTTAAATAATTGTTGATCGTTTGACACTTTTCGAAAAATAGTTGTTGACCGTTTGTCTTTATTCAAACCGAATGAAAAAACATAATTGGTACGATTCTGTAGATTTCATAAATATTTGTACCTAGACCGAACATAACCATCTCATACTGTACCGAATTTAAGTAATTTTTTTGCGGCATGTTTACTACTATAATATTCAAAAAAAAAAAAAAATATGGGAAGCTTTGTCCTGTTTGGTTCTTTGCACATTATGTTTTTCTATGAGTCGAAGGATTAGGACATGCCATGTCAAGCAGTTACCGGTCGATCAGTGACTCGGCAAACAAAGAGGTGTCGAGGTGTGCGAAGTTTGTTTTATACATTATTCATCCCATCTAAGTGATTTTTTGTTGTTAAATTTATTTTTCATAAAAGATTATATGTTTTAATTGCAATAATTATTCATCAAATAGCTAAATCTATTTAATAAATAATTAATTGTAGATATAAAATATTTATCACTGAAAAATAAATAACTTGTACTTATTTGGTAAATAAGATTGGTAAAAAAAATAAAACATATTATTATTGAAAGTTAACCATCATTATGTTTGTTCAACTCACTCTAACATATTGAATAATAAAAACTAGCAAGAAATATGTGCAGTTTCTTGAAAAATCTTTTCACAAATAAATTGTACTAAAAAAACACCTAATTATTTATATTATATCATAAATAAAAAATACTTTAACTTTTTTTATGTTGATTCATTAATTCATTATTTGTTTTAAATTATTTGGTATTATCATTGTTTAATTATTAGAATACATAGTAGCATGAAAAATGTAAGTGTTTGATTAATAATGTTATCAAGGGAAAGATAGAGTCAATATAAGTGCTTGATTAATAATGTTATCAACAATTTAATGTAGGCAATTTATTTTTTTAAAGGCAGCGCAACTCCAACAGGTTCCCTTTCCAACTGCAACTGGTCACATTCTCTAAGAGAAATCAGAAACTNGAGATCACACACAACAAAGGTAAATCTCATTTTTTTTTTATTGTTTAGAATCAATTTATTAGTTTGAATAATTTTTATGGATTTTAATTTTGATTTGGCTTTGGACAACTCTTAGAATTTTAAAGGGCTTGAATTTTAGGAGAAAATCAAAATATTACCTATACCTATGTTAGAGCGACAATAGTGAACTTTTTTACTATGTTTTCTATGCTTGTAGAGTTTTTCAATTACTCTGAATCATCTCTTGCCACTCTAAAGAGTACTACTTTGAATCCTGGGAATGGACTCAAGGCCTGGGGTAGTGCCTCTTCGCTAGCTAGTTGCTCGATAGCTTTCTTTGGCATTAGGGAGTTAGGACAACCAGGTTTAGGTTACCGAGCATAAGAAAATGAAGTCGATAGATTCATTCTTATCTTGAGAAAGAAGTCACAAGCTCCTGTCTTTATTAAGATCAATTTCTTTTCACTTTCTTTTCACTATTCTGGTGCTTAAAAGTATATATAATTCTGTATGTCATATTTTTCAATGCTTTTTGCAAGAATATAGTTGTGGATTCAACTTTTCAGGTTACACAGATAAAAGAAAGAACGACAAAGGTTTAGAAGATTATGGATTCCTATGATTTTGTGTGGTCGCTAATGGTTTGTTAGATTGAAATGCAAGGTAGATGAACCTAGCAGTAGCCATAATTTTTCAACTAAGAATTGATATATATATATATATATATATATATATATATATATATTACTAGAATATATGTGTGTCTGTAGATGTGTCAATGCATGCATCAGTGCGTGTGTGCTCGTCGAGAGTAGGAATGGAGATAGATTGAATTTTTGTACCTTTCTCACACAACTGATATTGAATTAATTGTTTATATGAATGATATTGTCATATTAGTCTTTGTGTGTATAAATTTTGGTGTGTGTAATTTGAGTTAGTAACTTCTATATCCGGGTGAAATTGAAATAATTGTGCATATTAGTTTATTGATATATTGAGTTCACTACGTGTGTATGGAATTATGCGTGTGCAATTTCAGCTATGTTTGAATGTATTGTAGCTTATGTTTGAATGTATTGTAGCTTACTGCAAGATGGGAACGAAAAGGCCTAGAAGTATTAATTTAGAAAAAGCCGAAACAATCAATGTAAGTTCTCTATGTTTAAATGATGCATCTATTATTCTTGTGTAGGCAATTCAACAATATTTTTATTTATTTATAATTAAATATTATGCGTAGGTTGGTGTTATAGTTAAAGATGGAGCCATAAGGTTGGAGAAAAAGATAATTAGTTTGGAAGAAAAGGTGGATGATATGGTTCGTCGCATGGCCTATATGGATTCGAAGATAGATAGGTTGTTTGATTTGATTAATTCTCTTATAGAGGCAAAACATTCAAAAGAGGATCCCGAATCTCGTGAAAAAACAGGTGCCGCCGCTAAAAAATTTCGTCATAATTTTGAATTTGATGCCTCTCTGAGTGGAATGGGTGGAATGGGTAGAAAAAAATCACCTGAGGTGCACATAGTGTTAAGTGATTCATCTGAAGAAGTTTCTTCCAAACGTATGAGTTCGAAAAATGATACAAAGAGTCCCTTGAAGAGTAAGGTAATATATTATTTCACATGCATACAATGCCTTACAAACTACATCTATAAATTTTGTTAAAAGTGTCTCGCTATTCATATCCCGTTTTATGATTTATTTTTTGTATTAGGGTGTTGAAGATGATTTTAGTAAGGAAGAGAAGAATGTTTTGAAGTACATCTTCGATGTAAACCACAGTCCCGAGTAAGTGTTTATTTTTATGCACAGTTATCATCAAAATGCATATAAAATTTATTGCTAATTTATTTTCTTTTTTGATGTTGCAAGTGAAAAGATCGTGGAGATGTCAGGAGAATTTGGAGAAAGAACACGGTTAACAGAACTACAGACTTCAAACTGGCTAAGTGCAGAAGTAAGTTTATTTATATTAAACCTTACAATGATCGAGTGTAATTGTTGATTATGATTTGTAGATTTTAAATCTATACGCTTGTATGCTGAGGTGGGATAATCGAAACGATGCCTCTAAACTATCAGCGGAAAATTGGTTTATGCCAACCTATGTCTCGGTAGGTCATCAATTCTACTTGCATTATTATTTGCATTATTATTTACTGGAAGATATAATTGATTAGACATTTTGTGATGTAGCAATACATTACTCGAAAGAAGACAATTCACCTACAGACGATTCCTTTCCTTTACTATTATAGGGCATTCCATGAAAGGAAAAATGGTTGTGATGCTGGTCGCATATATCGTTATTTCTTGCGTGAAGATAAATATGGAGGGGATATTAAAAAATGTGAAAAGGTAACTGTCCATAATTTTGATGCATTGTTTACAAGTTAGCTAGTAAAATTGTTTGAGTAATGGTTTATTGACATTTTGATTTTTTAAATGCATAGATCTTCATTCCAATGAACCCTGGAGATCATTGGTACTTGTGTGTAGTCGACATAATCAGACAGGAGGTTCTGATATTGGACTCACTTATGCCAAAAAATTGCAGTAAACGTATTTCAAGTGCCAAAGTTGTGGTAATTAGTTTGGAAATTATTTTTCTTTTCTTTTTTTCCAAGTTCTATTGGCAATGATTTTATTTATAAAATTTAATTGTCATCCAGCTCAAGTATTTCCATGAGGCTTTAGAGATTGGATGTGGTACAACTTATAGTGTCAATATTTCTAAATTTCCTACGAAAATCGCGCAATGGGCACCACAACAAAAGAATCTGTAAGTTTGAGTTTGAGTTATGTTGAATCAGATATTCTAACGACAACATTGATTTGTTGATCACATTGTTGTATTGCAGTTATGATTGTGGATTATTCACAATAAGATTCATGCAACTATATGACGAGCTACGGGTCGGGATGCATTTCAGCATTGAAAACTCACATTTGGAGAGAAGGAAAATTGCTATTGAGATATTCTACCATGAAGCAAATGAAGCCAAGGAAGAGATACTTAGAAAAATAGCGCACTCTTCGAAAGATGTGAGTCCAGCCTCTGCTGCAGCTTCTTAATCTTCACCGACAGCTCGTACTTCTGCTCCTTCTTGTAGGTCTTTAATGTTAATCTGTAGGAGTCACTCATTTGTTTACAAAATCGGTGGTAGCTTTTGACTTAATTTCTGGTCATTTATCTGTTTTTCAATGAATCAGATGGATTATATTTGTGTTACAATAATTGAACTTACCTTCATATTTTTTTATGTTCCTGTAACCTATGCATTGCTGGCTTTTGGTGCTCAGTTTATCTTGGAAAGGTTAAACTCATAACTGATCAGTTAGCTAAATGTTAACCAGATGAGTTTTGTACTTTTAAGCATCTTTGAGTTGTACAGTCTTATATGATATCTTGGACACAGGGTTCTTATATGATATCTCATATTGTTCTTTCAATACAATTTTAAGAAAGTTGTATTCTAGGAAGTGTTGGTTTGGTCATCCTGCTCTGTTGTCTTAATTTCTTTATCAGTTACTATTATGGTTTATAAGCCGTTCCACAATTTAATCTCAAACTAATGTGCTTAGGTAAAACAAAGGGCATGCTTAGAAATATTTATCTGAGAAAGATAATAATAGCATGCTAAGGAAATTTTGTTTATAAACAAGACTGAACAATTGAATTATAGACATTCGATCGGGTGTAGGAAGACCGAGAATAACGGTTATAGGGCGGCGGTGGTGGCAGTGCAAGGGGTGAGTGCAGCCATGGCCAGCGGGGCTTCGGTGCTTGTGACGATGCCGCTCGACACGATTAAAACGAGGCTTCAGGTTTTGGACGGAGGAGAACCGTGTGGGGGGAAAGGGAAATCGATGACGGTTATGCAAACGGTGAGGGATTTGGTGAAGGAAGGGGGTTTGAGGGCATGTTATAGGGGACTCTCACCCAGATGGGCCTCGATGTCGATGTCAGCCACGACAATGATCACGACATACGAGTTTCTCAAGCGGCTGTCGACCAAGAGTTCGGAGAGGTTTGGTGTGTGAGATGAAGTTGGTGTTTTGTTTGTTTTTGGATGGGTAGCCCTGTTTTGGGTGGTAGTTTGTGTTTTTTTGGCTCTAGTTTTCTTGAGTGGATTAGGTATCATTTGTAAAAAGTGTAGAAATGTATGTAAGTTTTCCATGTCTTTTCTTGTTATGTTTTAGGTTCACTGCTATCAAGTGCGTTTGTATGAGCTTAAAGTTACCTCAGTTCATATGTACTGCTTGTGTTTTTTTGGCTCTGGTTTTCTCGAATGGATTAGGTATCATTTGTAAAAAGTGTAGAAATGTATGTAAGTTTTCCATGTCTTTTCTTGTTATGTTTTAGGTTCACTGCTATCAAGTGCGTTTGTATGAGCTTAAAGTTGCCTCAATTCATATGTACTGCCATTATTGATTTAACAATAATAAATCCGGCGATTGCATTAGGTCGAATAGCATGGCTACGTACCCCCCAACTCCAGGTGGGTTTATTTTTGTAGCAATCCATGAAAACGAAAGGTGAACACGATGAAAAGCACAAGCCAAAGAGACAACACGAACATACGAAATATACGAGCACGAAATTTACACGCGCACGATACACAAACTTACACAGATTGTAGAGTAACAAAGAACCTCCAAGCATCGTCCAACATACAGAAAACTAAGCAAGCATAACTCCAAGTTCTATAGGTCCTCCCCACATCATTAGTTCCCCAAAAA